TTTTTTTTTTTTTATTTTTTTTTTTTTTTTTTTTTTTTTTTTTTTTTTTTTTTTTATTTTTTTTTTTTTTTTTGTTTATTTTTTTTTTTTTTTTTTTATTTTAATTATTTATTAAATTTGATATTTAAAAAAATTTATAAAAATAATAATATATTTGTATATGTGATTAATTATTTATAAACATGTAATAGTTAAAAAAAAAAAAAATTAAAAAAAAATATTATTGTAATAAAATTAAACAAGAAAAAAAATATATATATTAAATTTTTATTTATATTCTTTTTATTTTAATAAAAAAAAAAAAAAAAAAAAAAAAAAAAAAAAAAAAATTTTTATTTTTTAATTTAATTTGTTTTTTAAAATTTTATTTTTTTTTGTGTTGGCTTTTTTTTTTGACTGCGCGCCGCCTAAGGAGGCGAATACGATATAGAGGTACAGGCTGCGATCCCCCTACGGGGACGACTACGAGATAGAGGTACGGGCTGCGAGCCGCCTGAGAAGACGAATACGATATAGTGATACAGGCTGCGCGCTGCCTACGGGGACGGCTACGAGATAGAGGTACAGGCTGTGCGCCGCCTTTGGTGATGACTACGAGATAGAAGTACAGGCTGCGCGTTGCCTACGGGGATGACTACGAGATAGAGGTACAGGCTGCGCGTCGCCTACGGAGACGAATACGAGATAGAGGTACAGGCTGCGCGCCGCCTACGGGGACGACTAAGTCTACCCGCAACGTACGAAGACGACTATCTAATAGAAGTTCGAGTTGTGCGTCGCGTGCGAGACGACTAAGTGGTATAGGTACGGGCTGCGCGTCGCCTACGGGGACGACTACAAGATAGAGGTACAGGCTTTGCGCCGCGTGCGGAGGCGACTTCGAGATAGAGGTAGGGGCTGAGTACTGTGAACGGAGACGACTATAATATAGACGTACGACTTGCGCACAGCTTATGGAGGCAACTACGTGACAGAGCGCGCTACTTACGGAAATTACGGAACAGAAGTGCGAGCTACGTGGAACATACCCAAACGTCTACGAGATAGAGGAAAGAGTTGCTGTACGGAGATGCTGTACGCGTACGGAAATGACTACAAGAATGAGGTACGAGCAGCACTCTGCGTGCCTTGCCGCCCGGTGAAAAAATAGGAGTAATGACACAATTGAAGTCATTCTCCTTTCTAATGTTACAATGGAATGAAGGAAACACTTGAATTGATTATTTGAAAAGGGAAATAAGTTCTTGTTAGAAAGTTTCGAAATACACAATAAAAACTTAATAACATTCACAGTTGGCATCTGGAACATTTATGTTCTACACAAAAGTTGCACAACTAGTTGTCATCAATTGCTTGGCCTACTCTGTAATTTCAAATTCCCGTTACTCTGAATCTGTGATGTACAAACCCGTTTTACACCTTGACCGTTTTTGCTATATAAAATAATTATATAATATTAAAAAAATTATTTATTTATTTTTGGACTTATGAAACAATATAATCATATAATTAATATGAATTGACATTATGTACAATATGGATATGAAAAATACTTTTACGAAATTAATTATACAGCACCTACTCATCCATTTCACACCTACGTCTGTGGCTATGTCACAACTTTCAGGTAGAAATGGAGGTAGGAAATATTCTTGCGGGATGTATTTTACTATAATTTAATCATCGGTTATTTTCTTTCTGTTGATCGGAAGAACAACTGAAACAATCTTTCTTGATAGGTAAATATCAACGTTCCTTCCCTTTTTCCAAAATGAATGAGTACATGAAAAAGCCGTCAATATATGCACTCACGTGTCACGAGATAACCGAAATATTCTCTATAGTACATTAGCTGCTTTACGTGAAAAGTCATCCAGTCTCACAATGAAAACTGGCAGGACGAGTTAGAGAATTTGGTTATCTTCTTAAAATAGTTTGACAATCAGGTTTTGAAGTCTGTGATGCCATCAGTGACTATTATTGTTGTCATGCAGCATTTAGATGTTTGCTAGCTCACAATACTAGTGCTATTGTGTCAAATCAAAACTATGACTTCTTTCGTTTTTCAATTACCGATAATCATGACTACATCTTTTCCAGTAATTGGAATATTGAGTTCGCAATAGATCTCATATATTAAGCTGGACGTATTTCATTTTTACACTAATATATAACAAAGAACATGTATATCTCAACTCTTTTTATGAAAAAAGGGATGTATTTCCCTTTGAAAGTCACTCATTGAATTTAAGGACACGACAGATCACAATGAGTGTTAATAAGGCGGATGGTTTAAATTGTCATTTCGAGAATGTCTTCAAAAATCTTTTTTTTTGTTCCGCACTAGGAGGTGATGCGCGCCATTTCGCCGACGTGCGAAGATCTGCTATCGCACTGCCGGTGGCGCGGGAGGAACGTGAACTGCAGCAAGCTCTTCGAACTGCGCACCACCAACGACGGCTTCTGCTGCACCTTCAACTACCTGCGCTACGCCGACAACTTCCCCTCGGACGAGGCGCTGCTCGAGCTGATGAAGACGCCGCTCAAGCCCCGGCGCCTGCACGCCACGGGCTACGAGATGGGGCTGACGGTGGTGGTCGACCCGCAGCCCTGGGACTACTACTACCCGCTGCTGCCCTTCTACGGTGTCAAGGCAAGTCTGTCCCTCTTATTTCTCCTTTATCGCTGGACTGACGATACGGACATCCAGTTGTCAAATGAGACCTAATGAGTCAAAGTGACTCCATCCCTCTTTTCAGCTAAGCATGGCCTCTTCATGTAGGTCCGTCAGTTGTCCACTTGTAACCATGGGACTACTACTACCAGCTGCTGCCTTTCTACGGCGTCAAGGCGAGTTCATCTCTCTTATTTCTCCTTTATCGCTGAACTGAAACCACGGACTTCCAGTTGTCAAATGAGACCTAATGAGTCAAAGTGACTCCATCCCTCTTTTCAGCTAAGCATGGCCCCTCCATGTACTACCCGCCTGGTACTACCCTCTGCCCTCCCTCCTGATACTACCCGCTGCTGTCGTTTTACGGTGTCAAGAAGAGTGTATCCCTAATATTTTCCCTCTTTCACTGAGCTGTACCTATCCAGAGAGCAAGGACGAGTTTTGTCTGGAGAAGACTTCTAGTGGCCGGTTTCTCTGATTGTTAGTTTTCCGTGATTTTTTCGACAGACTAATGCCGGAGCAGTACTCTACCAAATGGGTCACGGAACGCGCGCTCTCTCTCTCCTCTGCACTCCTTGCCCAATCCTACCCATTACTCACACACACACACACACACACACACACACACAAACATTCAGTACACTACAATTCCCGACGGCAAACCGGCCGAGAGCTTACAGCTTTCCCCGGCTAGAGCGGTGTCCCGCAGGATACCTGATTGGGGAAAACCCCAATAGCCGACGTAAGGTCGTCACCGAACCTTCCCCTCCAGTGCGGCAAGATCACCGTCACTTCTCGAGCAAAAACTATTTACCATACTTAGGGACTAATAGCCTAAGCAGATGGTGCGCCCGGAATCACTCATCTTTTATCAATCAATATGAGCTGTCGTCACAGGTTTCGAAATGGGGCTCACAGATCTCGTGAATACGCAGTCGTGGAACTATTACTACCATGTACTGCTCTGACAATGCGAGCCCATTTCACTTATTTCCCCCTTTTTGCTGAGCTGAAGCGACGGAAATTCACGTTTTGGGGTCCCCTCTTACCGAACACGACTTTTTCAGCACGTCAGTCAGTCCGTTTGCCCTTCCGTCTGTCCATCCGTGTGTCTACATGTGAACAACACAACTAAACTATTCGTAGGTTTTTTTTCAAAATGAAAATCCCCCGAACGGTTTGGTTCGACTCATAGCCCTAAGATGTCTTTTAATGTGTGTGGATTCCTTACAATAACATACGGTATGATACTAATTCATTTTATTCAATGATAACACTTTGGGTGAGACAAAATGTGCTCATTTCCCTGGTATACAGAATTGCTATCTTCGAGGATATCGGGACTTGGTTACACATAGAATACACTCAAACGACATTTTTAACAACGCGCTCCTCTTTGGAAGTTAGCTCATGAGGCACTGGCGTATGTACACGAGATATTTTGGGTATTACTGTCCCCCGGATATTAAAATATAGAGTTTTTGTCTTCATTGTTTATCTTTCGCTACGTCAGAATGTCTATTGCCGTTAAGACAGAAGAATCATGCCGTCTTTGCGAGAAGTATTTGTAGTCAGACGTTTGTGATATTTAATTTGAACCACGTTTGTAATGTAGTGAGTAACGGAAGTAACAGTAGTAGTTTATGCAATTAGTTTATAATGTTAAGCTTTATTACATGAGTACATGTTTCGAAAACGAGCGACTTTAGAAGCGAGTTTTCAAATTTGTACGAATGTAATAAAGCAACATTATAAACGAGTTGCATAGTATATTATTTTGTATAACAGCATTATACATTTATAAGAGAATCAAACTTAATTTTGCCAAACAACTTACCTGTGACGACTCGGGTATTTGACATCGTGCGGGTAAACGGTGTTCCGTTTAGCGTGTTCTTAGGCTTCCGCGGCCGGTGTGAATGCATTCTTGGCTATCCGGGATGAGCCGCATCTCGGTCAATTGTGCTGACGTTTCGGCCATCTTGCTGTGGACTTCTTCAGAGCTATACTGCAGAGTAGCTTCAGAGCTATGCTGCCAGCAGTATAGCTCTGAAGGCCACAGCAAGATGAGCCGAAACGTCAGCACAATTGACCGAGACGCGGCTCAACCCGGATAGCCAAGAATGCATGTTCCGTTTAGCTCTATCTCCCACCGATTCTATCACTACGATTGGCTGAATGTGTGATGACGCAATCATTCATGACATAAAATCTAATACGTCATCATTTGTGCCGTAAAATGCCCGATTATGAACCACTTCTCGCAACAGAAAAGGTTCTTTTATAATGCTGGAATACAAAAAAAAAAGTACGTTTCTTGCAGGTGATGGTGTTCAGGCCGAGGGACTTCGCGGACACGACGGCGGGCGGCGCGCTGGAGCAGCTGGTGACGATAAACACCGACGTCTTCATGCGCCTGGACTCCGTCACTCTCAAGAGCACCGACGCCGTTCGCTCTTTCTCCCTCGAGCAGCGGCGCTGCCTCTTCGAGTCGGAGGTACCGGCGCGTTCTCGCCCACTCGCAGCCCGCGCCACGTTGTCAGATACGCGCCCTTTTCTGCCATCTCAATATCTCTGTTTTGAACAGTAAACAACATAAAGCTTCACGTATAGCTAACATACAATGTAGGCTTTCACGGCCGGTTTCTACATCATAATCAGTCATTTCCGGGCTTGAAGGCCGTGGTCCAACGGAGACTTGTCCATACGTTTCGCCTGCAACTGTGGCAGGCATCATCAGTGGCGTTGCTGGCGGGGGCGAAGTGTCCTTGTTGGCAGCGCCGCGTTGACTGACGCTCCAGCAGTACATTTTGTGCAGTTTTGTGAACGCACGAAGAAGTGCAATGCGCGTTCTCGCCACCGCGGTGGGACCATTCCTACCCTTACGGGCATCTATGGCCTATCCTGTAACATAAAGAGAAAACAAAAGGTCAAAAAATGATTTTAGCCTACAGGCGCGCATTTTGCGTGTTTTGTATACTGACGCTCCAGCGGATCTGAGACCTGTATTCATGGTGAAAAGCGAGGTTCGCGCGCTCGCGTCTGATTGGGTCGCGCCACCTGTTCTCGCGCCTGATTTGGGCCCCGTCAGCGGTACTGTTTAGCTGCCGAGTTTTGGTCGTACGGAGTGCCGGGTACCATGTACTATTTAATTTTTCTCCTTCTTTTCTATTGAAATTGTTCTTATGTTTGTAAATCTCGATGGCTTCCATTTGGAGTCTCTTGTAGTAGTGTGTAGTTTGCCACAGTTGCAGGCGAAACGTATGGACAAGTCTCTGTTGGACCACGGCTTTCATGCCCGTAAATATCTGATTATGAGGATCACGTATAACTGTTGAGGAATTTTTTTTGAAATTCTTCTCTATACGAATATAGAAGTCAATGATTATCTTTTTCCAGTGAGGAAATGTTAAGATGATTACTTCCTTTGCCACTGTGGATTAAATGTTTTATTCTTTTGAAACGTCGCAACCCGCGCCACGTTGTCAGATATGCGTCGTTTTCTGCCTTCTCAATATACGCAGCGGCTCTGTAATGAACAGTAAACAACATAAAGCTTCACTTATAACTGTTAAACACATTTTTTGGAATGCTTCTCTATTCAAATTTAAAAGCCTGTGAATGTATTTTTCCAGTAAGAAAATGTTAAGACGGTTACTTTCTTTGACACTGTGGACTAAATGTATTATTTTTTTAAAGTTGAATAAGTTATTTTGCTTTCATTGAATAAAAATTATCAATATATTCGGGTACACTGCGGCTCTGTAATGAACAGTAAACAACATAAAGCTTCACTTATAATTGTTGAGCACATTTTTTTGAAATTCTGAGAAAATGTTTAGATGATTACTTTCTTTGCCGCTGTGCACTAAATATTTTATTTTTTTTAAAAGTCGAATAAGTTATTTAGCTTTCTTTGGATAGTAATATCAATATATTTGGTACCAATAATCAATCAGAGCGCTTTTATTTAGGAAATTTTCAAATCATGATGAATTGCTAAAGCGCCCAATTCAAAATGGACGGTCTTTGAACAAAAAAATGTTGTGAAATCCTCCACTCTGCGGCTGCTTAACTGAAAAATAACCAATGCAATTGATACTTTCGTAAGTTTCCAATCACTTATACAAGAAGGGATTTCGCGTTCCTAATATCTATGAAACACTCACCTCTACAAGTGCCAACTTACTTCATGCAGTCACTCATCTACAACGTCATTCACAATCAAAACGTTATATACACGTGAGGACATAATCATGGGCGTACCATTCACAATGTCCATCAACATAGTTGTACAGACACTTGTCGATATAGATATAATAAATACTGCAATTCTATTTATGATCGAACGACAGGAATCAAAATGGAAGTGATCATGCTTGAACTACAATTATTTCGTATTTTATGAGCGCCACGATTGTTCTTGAGAGGGTTTAGTGAGCAATTATAATGATGAATTGTAATTTATGCTCACACAAACGGTGATAGTTACTGTTCAACGAATATACTAGACCTTCTTTGGATATTTCTATGGTACACGTTCAATTATTTATTTGCCATCATGAGCATTTGCAGCCAAGATGCGAACATTTGCGGTCATGATATCGTGATGAACAATACACGATCGTGTACCATAGCAATATCCAAAGGCGTTCTAGCGTATTTGTTGGACAGTAACTAATGCAGTTTGTAGGAGCATAAATTACAATTTATCATTATAATTCCCCACTAAGCTCTCGTAACAACAATAATGGCGCTCACGGTCTCGATGTTTCACGATATAAGCGAGTACTAAAACTTATTAATAATGAAACCAGCAAAGGTGGCTCGCTACACTAACGCACTATATTTACAGGACTAATTGCTAAGTTCATGTGCCGCTAATCACTAATCAATAAACAGTTTATTCATGATGAAACTGAAACGCAAACACTGGGACTATTCATACTACGAATTCGTACGTTATAAACAGAAGTGGCGCGCGTAGTTTTCGGCGTTTGTAAAAGCGTTCCAGCAAAGTACAACCGATCTATACCGCAATTTTCGCAACTCTGCCCCTGGCAGGTATCATCCGTTGACAATTCCATCCAATCGAGAGCTTGAACGTTACTATAGTGACGTCACTACGCGCACCATTCTGTTTATAACGGACGAATTCATAGTATGAATGGTTCTAGCGTTTGCGTTTCAGTTTCATCATGAATATATTATTGATTGATTAGTGATTCCGGTGATTAGTCCCGCAAGTGTAGTGCGGGAGTGTAGTTTGTGACCTTTGCCGGTTTCATTGTTAATAAAGTTTAGAACTATCTTATATCGTCAAACCCCGAAGTCGTGAGCGCCACGAATGATTTTGCGAACCGTTCAGTGAGAAATTATAATGGTGAATTGCAATGTATGCTCTTACAAACCGTAATAGTTTCTGTCCATCAAATACGCTAGAACTGCTTTTAATATTACTATGGTACAAGATCGGGTGTTGTTTTTTCATATCACGATGTCGTGACTGCAAATGCTCGCAGCATAGCCACAAATGCTCATGAACGCAAATGGCAGAGCTGCATATTTTGCGCTATAAAATCGTGATATTCTCAAGAAGAAACACCAAATTCATTTAAGATAACAACTCTGCCCCTGGCATGAACGTCACCGTTTCTACATCACTATGTTGACGTTCAAGCTTCCGATTGGATGAAACAAAATTAACTTAAGAAAACAGTTATGTCCTGATCAAATCATTACCAGCGGCGCGCCAATTCGCCATCCTGCCCGGACTCAAGGTGAGTCGGCGTCGTCAAAAATACCATAACGTAACCGACGTCATTCGTTGCCACGTTGACCAGAAGTTCTTAATGTTTGAATTCTGATGCGAAACTTACGGATGCGCGACTTGTCGTCAAAAACAATTATGTTCCCCCACGTATTTGGGTTGTGTGTGGGGGTTGTGCGCCAGGTGGCGGACTTCTACGGCTACTACAGCTACCCCGAGTGCCTGACGGACTGCCGCGCGTGGTCCATCCGCGCGCTGTGCGGCTGCCTCAGCTTCTTCATCCCCAAGCGCGGTGCCTTCCCGGACTGCGGCCCGCGCGACGTGGCGTGTATGGGCCGCTACACCAGCAAGTGGCACTCGCTGCGCCCGCCCGCCATCTTGCCCGGACTCAAGGTGGGTCTGCGACGTCGAGGAAACCTTCAACGCAGCCGACGACGTTCGTTGTCACGGTGACCAGGAGATCTTAGGGTTTGAATTCTGGTGCGAAAGTTACGGATGTAGTAGATTAACGTGTGGGTACACTCGTCACAAGTTAAATACGTGACATTCGTGTTACCTCGTACAAGGGGCACATACGTGGCCTTCGAATGTAGTGACATATGTGGGTCAAATTCAATCATTGAAGGAGAATTATAGCTCTCAGCTGCTCTGATAGGTTCCTTTCGCTTGTTTCTCCAATCAACGAGAGGCGAATACTGGCACAGAATCGTAACAAACAGGCCAGTGATCGCGCGCGATCTTTCCTTCCTTTTTCTTGTCTCCTTGTGTCCCCTTACACACGTAAAATTATATGCCGGAGCAGTGCTTTGTTGGGGACGTGGAGGGAAAGAAAACCGCGAGCCTCGGGTCAAAGGGATAAAAGTTCCTGACTGACTGCGACGTGACGACAACTAACAAAGTAAACGGACTATTTCTCCATGTCATGAGCCCAACACCGCACGGGGGTTCAGAGACGATTTCGTCAACAAAGACGCAACATTCTCGTAATTAGTAATGCACATACTTTCTTGCCCTTAGTAATGCTTACGTAATACTATTTAGACCGCAATTTCATCATTTTTTGTAAAACTCAAATTTTCGGAAAATTGTTCATGACTTTGTTTCAAAATCTACCTTTAAGAATCAGTTTTCATTAGGGGGAAACTTCTATATTTTAGGTATAGGAAGACGCCGACAAAATATTGATTTGGCAATTTTCAGGGTACTCAACGAACATGAGACTTGTACCATTCTCCTAAACGTACTTCACACTATCCAATAACAATGTTTAATCAAAAACGATTTCTTAGAAAATGTCCCGGGGGATTCTGTAAAGTCTCCAAAAATTGAAATATCAGTTTCAAATTCAAGCGGCCTCGATTTCAGGCTGAACGGTTTAGCAACTAGCGATGTTCAGAGACGGACAGATGGACGAACCGACTGATAAACGGATGGACAGATGGGGTTTTCCCATATTTTGATTTTTTGGTATCAAGGATCCAAAAACATGGATTCTGGCTTACACTATGTGATAGAGGACGTTTAATAAATCATCAACTAAATTGATTCACTTTTTCGCTACCAGGGCCCGTCAATAAAAGTTTTTAAAAATGAACGTTTTTTTCGAGTTGCATTACATAACTTTTTCTCTATTGCGTAAGCTGAAGCGAGAAAGTAAAAAAAAGTGTTATCTCTTGATCTCACTTTCCAATGAGGGAGTATCACCGCCACCTATCGATTATAACATGCACTTCTCTCACGGGTCTAATGGCAAAAGTTGACCATCCGGCAACAATAAATACTGCCACACTCATTCACTCACTCAGGACCTATATCTGAACCATTTCTAATTTCCTAAGCGCACAGCAAATTGAAATATTGACGTAATAGATCGTAAATGATCAAACATTGTATAATCACACATATACTATACGTAACTGCTGTAACTGAGAATCTAAAAAACTAAATTTATGTGAAATAATATAATAATCCGTATGGCGAAAATGCTTTTCTAGATGAAATAAGTGAGAAGAACATCAGAAATGTAAATATAGTATACAGCATTCAGTATTGCTTCATAATTTTACACGAAAATTACCCACGATTAGCTGCGTTTTTACAACTTTCATGTCATTGCACACAAATTAAAATAAGTGCAAAATCGTGACAAATAACGGATATACCTCTTCTGGAAAATGTCTGCGAACAAAATATCTATGAAAACATACACAGATTGTTTCAAATAGCTATGACTTAGAGATCACCGCCAACCCCTGTTTCTCTCTCGATATGTATGTCATCGCCGTCAGCCGTTGATACCAGTTTCCACTCGACACCGCGTGGAGTACATTATCATTGCGGTATTGGATTCTGGAAGAGCAGATTGCATTTGTTTTTGTCAATGATCAGAAACATGACACTTGTCCTATCAGGACACGTCAGTTCACCTGTCAATTTCGTTAGATCAATAATCATTTGAATGGATTGTTCCTGTTGATAAACTTACATCGGAGAAATTACTTTACCTTACAAATAAAATTATTGCAGGGATTATTTTCACTTTCCAAATAACTTTCAATATCACTGCCAACGCCGACGTTAATAATTATGTTTTGTTTTAACTTCGAATATACGTCATATTGACTACCTCGATGGCGTAACGATTATGAGCAGCGTTCAATGCAATGTGATTGGGCCGTGTTGCCGAGAAAAACGTCCAAAACCCCTACATACTGTACCATAGTTAGAATGCACATGTTCGATGAAAATAGGGAAATATTAGATGGAGCTGATTCCTGATGAAGTGAATCGAGGAGCAGCTATGTAATAATCGCCTACGTTGAAATAGCAAATTGAATCACTTTTTGACGGTTTTGCACTAACTGCCTTTAGGACATACACAGGAAACTCATGGCTACAACAAGTATTTTTCTCTATGTAGCATGTTTCTCATGCCCCCTCGGATCACATACTACTAAACAATGTTTCATAATAATTTCTCTCATTACTATTCACCTTTCATAATCACATCCGCTATCAACTATCCAGAGGAAGGTAATTTTTTAATACCCCTCCTGTGTTTATCTGCTCAGAACATCATAAAATTTTCGTCAATATTAGTCTCATTTCTGAGGGGACCTTGACATGTAGAGTTTTCCAGTTATCTGCTGGCATAAATTTGAACATTATAAATAGCGTCTGCTAAGATCCTTATATCGTGAGTGTGCATCAATAATTGAATGTTAATATGCATGTTCCATTCTTAAAGGGAAAAGTAACGAATTGAAATAGAATTTGGGGGATTTAAAAGGAAGGATCAACACAAATATTTGTTTATTTCACAGAAATAGAGGGAGAGAGAGAGGGAGAGAGAGGGAGAGAGAGGGAGAGAGAGGGAGGAGAGACGGGAGAGAGAGACGGGGAGAGGAGGAGGGAGGAGGAGGAGGGACGAGGAGAGAGAGTAGTGTGAGAGAGAGAGAGAAGAGAGGGAGAAGAGGAGGAGAGAGAGAAGGGAGGAGGGAGAGAGGGAGAGAGATGGAGAGAAGAGAGCGAGGAGAGAGAGGGGAGAGAGGAGGAGTGGAGGGAGAGAGGGAGAGGAGGGAGTGAAGAGGAGAGAAGAGGCGAGAGAGAGGAGGGAGGAGAGAGAGGGAAAGAGAGGAGAGAGGGGAGGGAGAGGAGGAGGAGAGAGGAATGTCGAGGGAGGAGGAGAGAGAGGAGGGAGAGAGAGGAGGGAGAGAGAGGGCCACAGAGGAGGAGAAAGCGCAGAGGGAGGGAGGAAGGAAGGAGGAGAGAGAGGAGGAGAGAGAGAGAGAGTGTGAGGGAGAGGATGGAGGAGACAGAGGAAGGGGAGAGGAGGTAGAGAGAGGGGAAAGGGAGGAAGAGAGGGAGGAGAAGAGAGGGAGGAGAGAGAAGGGAGGGAGAGAGAGGTGAGGGGAAGGGAGGAGAGGAGGGAGGGAGAAGAGATGGGAGGGAGAGGAGAGGAAGGGAGAGAGAGGGAGAGAGGGAGAGAGAGAGGGAGAGAGAGAGGGAGAGAGAGGGAGAGAGGACAATGGAAAATGAAGAGAAGAGCACTAAGCCAACCTCAGCGTTTTGGCGGGTAGAAGAGGGCGCACAACACCTGAATGCGTAATTGATGTACAGATATCGAGAATGATTTTAACTGCAGCATTTCCTTTCGTCATTTGTGTAAGCTGAGAAAGAGAATGTAATTGTTTAACTACGACAGTGCGATAATATTCTATCAACGATATCATGCAGTTGTTACAAAAACGCTTCATTATAGCAGTATTGTTCTACTATAAATATTTATTACGGCACAATAACATTATGATTTCAATATAACATTCCTTTTTGAAGACAAAAGCGATTATTCGAAACAAACGAAAAACATTACTCTCTTAACTAAGAGTTTCATAGAAATAGCTAGCAAGCCATCTTCTCTGCTCTTCAACAATAACTTTTGTAAAATTGTAAAAATATGAATGATACACGTTTGATATACCATGAAAATAAAACGTGGCACATCTCCTAACTTTATCAATTGTCCGAATTGAATCAATAATTTCGAAAATGCTACATTCTCATATTCTTGTAAACACGTGAAGCTCATCATCTCTTATGTGTTGCGGTATTGAGCATCTCCGCTTTTTGTTAACAAAATCTAAGCGTGCTTGCTTCTCTCTCTACTTCGAATACGCCACTTCTCCAATGATTTGTTGTTTTTCAACAAGGGCGGGCCACGTAGATTTAAAAAAAGTTTCAATTATAAATGTATTAAATCTCGCCACTTAAATTTATTACTATTTTTATGTACTACATATTTATCTGTTGTTTGAAAACCGTTTCCCAACACTTGAGCCGGTGAGTTCTTTAACAGAAAGAAGTATCTGGTTGCGTCAAGCAAGATGCATGTAAAAAAACGTTCAATCATATAAGTTACTTTTTAATTGTCACAAAACTATTATATTAGTTACATTTTCGCGATCATGAGTGAGTGTAAAGTGGTCAGTTCGTCACTTCATTATACCTTTTCTTTCTTTTTATTTTTCGCTACTGCTTGAGCAATATAGTGAGATTTATGTAATGCCGTGGGGAAAAGGCGAATTTTCGACTGAATATACCGCATTAGAATTGCTACAATAGTGGCTCTGTGATCGACGGTCTGGGACTGAGTGCCACTCCTTTCCATTTTCTGAATAATATTTGTTTGCTGATAAATTTTGGAATGTTGCATTTCTTTCTTCATCTTTGCCAATCACGTCAAAAGCAAGGACTTGAAATTCTCATCAACTTCACCATTACTATCTGACTGAGCATAGTCTGTATCTGATAGCATATACTCGTGTGAGTCAGAATATGTCACTTACAATGTCACTCACTTGTCAACTTTTCAATACATTCTTCAATTTCCTCTG